CAGAGTCCACTCATCTTCAGATGACGCTCTCTACATATGGTATTAGTTGCCAAACACCGCATGAAGTGGAACCTATTCAGATTTGGCCTAGTTGGAGAATGGTCAAGGTAATTTCCTTTCTTACTCACAATTGAGTTACTTTGTTGAACATCTGAAAAATCCGCTGCATCATGTGCTGGGAGGTTACTTGGACTCCATAACCTAGCGCACGTGTTGAAAACCATTCCATCGATTTCACTATCACTGAATGTGTTTGGCGCACAAGTATCGAGTTGGTTTTCGCGATGTTCTGAGAACACTTATTTTCACGATATTTTGAGAACATGCTGTGCTACTTACCTGCAAGATGGATTCCTACCATGTGCGAGATAGGCAGACCCATAGATGTAGAAATGTGTGTTGTCACTCGACAGTGCGCGCACATGATGCACGAGGGTTGTGATACCACCACCCCCCCCCCCCCTCCCCTCCCTCCGTACGGCTCGACAATAGTTTTGTGGGGAAAAGGTGGTGATTTTTCGAAAACAACTTCCAGAAAATTTGTGGGTAAGCGTTATGAGAAGCGTTTGGCTATAGGCGTGTCCGGCAGGTAGCGGGTATCCGAGATAAGATTTGGCTATAGGCGTGTCCGGCAGGTAGCGGGTATCCGAGATAAGACTACGTTTATACTTTGCGGCGGCCTCCACCAGCGATCTGCAGCTGCTGGGCGCTGGTGGACGCTGGCGTTCGCTAGAACGATAAGCATAATTTTCTAGTCGCTCATTGACCCTGGTGGTAGTGGACGCTGGATCAAAATCTATACTTTCCTAGTCTCTGGCGGTAACGGACGCTCGAAACAATGGTTAACCCTTCCGCAAAGTATGAATGCAGCCTAAAAGTTCGGAAAGACATCTATTCCGCTCTCAGTCTGATATTGGCGCTTTTTCGCGTGACCCACTTTTTCCAGCCTCAGACCCGTTCACTGTGCACATGGCAAGAACCAAGATCCTCGATTTAGAGCATACAGCGTATCTTTGATTCTTTCGTTCAGTCATTAAAATTTTCAAAGACGCATATACACTAGCTGCGGTTTTCTACTCCTTGTGGTACCATATTATCCTAGAAAAAGTCACCGCGTCGTTTCAGCTATTCGAGTGCCTCGGCAGAGATGAAAAGTTAGGACTCAGCGGAAGACCACCTCGACCATTCGGACCTTTGAGCACATCCAAGGTTTATTTTGGCGGGAGTTATTAAACGTTGTCCTACATCTTTCCATATGTTTTTTTGAAGGTGTTTCGAGTTTTCGGAGACACAGTGTTGTGCTATCCACTTCTTTTCGAGGTTAAGGATTTCTACGTGAACTCCGATCCAGCCATTTTAATAGACGATATCAAGGTGTGGTACTCTTCACAGTTACAGTTTTTTATGCTATTAGTTCATGGTTGCTATCGATTCTTCGTTCGTATTCTTAACAACGTGATCTTTGCTCCAGGGGAAAGGTTTGAATTTTGAGTGATACCTCACAGCGTTGCTGAACCTTGATGACCGCATGCCATCGCCTTATGGCGGATTCCAAATGTGTTCCGAAGGGGCGAGAAAGCATTTTTTGAGCGAGTTCTAGCCAGAAAACCTTGATTTCTTTTTTAGCTGCCTTATCGCCGCAATTACCCTTGGCGGTGAATGTTTCCTTTGTACTATTTTTGGTTTTCCTGTCATATGTCCTCAAATTATCGAATCTGTTCCGAATTCTGCCGCTTTTCGTTGAAACAGACGGATCACTGACATTTGTTTTCAGCGCGACATCGAATTTGTTGCCAAGCGATGGAAGTTGACTGGGCGACCAACCATGTGCCTGCTACTACGTGAGGAAAACATTGTGGGAGAGTATTTTGAACACATTTTGGATCTTCTTGTGCAGCTGAAAACTCTGCAAAAACCTGGCCAATAGCCCCTGCGCCAGTCACACCCCCCGTTTTGACGGAAATTCGAGTTCGTGTTGGCAGAGTTCATGTAAGCATTCTCATCATCGGTAGCCTTTTTTTCGAAAGGTCGTATATGTACCGGATGTGTTCCCGGTGATTCGATCAAGTATGACACACCGAAAGTTCTGCGAGCAGGACAAAGACACTGTTCACGAAAAACAATTTATTAAACGAATACTTTACAGTGAAAGAAACCGGCAACCAAATCAAATGAACAAATAAAGCGGATAATGAAGTGGATTTTAGGAAGGTTCAATTAAGGGGGTGAGGCAGCACCGCGACTCGGCCGCGTCGACAACAGACTCGAAAAAAATGAGCATCTATTCCACGCATCTACTACTCTAATATACTCCTAATATTTCGCCGCAAGATCACGCCGCTTCCGGGGGGCCCTCGGAATGGACCTGCGTCCGCAGAAATACATTATTATCAGACAAGTAGAGGCCCATGACATGTGGCCTAAACAAGGTGGAGCAGCAAGACTGGCTGCGCTGCAGCTGTATGTTGCCTGCACTGATAACCAAGTGGACGCACTGTATTCAGGGATTAACTGCAGATGCAGTTTTGTCATTTGTTCTCAAACTGTAAATGGCTAGTTCCAGAGAGGCCTACAATTGAGGGCGATCCTGTACGATGGCTTTGAGGACTACTAGGTTGTTGGGAAAATAACAGCACATAGGGTCTCCAACCCGAAGCTCAGTAACTCTTATGGAGAAGTGAATTCACGACACAAGTGGTGGACTCATCAGGTTCCAGAAGGTCCTCATTCTGCGTATTCCCGTCTACTTCCATTCAGAATCGCCAGGTAGCCCATTTTTGAATACTATAGTCGACCTATACATCACTTCCGGGGTGGGTAGCTAGCCGGTGTGCAAGTCTGTTTTGTCCTCTCACAACCAGAGGAATCTGGTCCCAGTTTACGTCCCCGCAGGGGAGAAGGCTTGGGCGAGTTCGTGCTGAGATTTGACCTGTGTGTCGCGCACATGATAAGCGTGGCACTTTTTACTACAACACCTTCGTCGCTTATTGTATACCCTTCCCATAAATGCGCTCCGACGATGCTTTGGCAGATGAAGTGCATCGAAACCTAAAATTGCCGACTTCCGTTCACACAGTTAACATTGTCAGAACATGAGTCTCAACATTTCGAAGGGCAGAAGCACTGCACAAGCACAGGCACAGCATGGGATGTAAATGAAACTTTCTGCTTACAGCAAAACTATTCGTTTTGGGCCTTTTCAGCAGCTTCTGAACACAAGTTGTATCGAGCATATCGACTTCGCTACATCGGAGGACGTCGAATTCGATATTGACGTGCTGGAAGAAACCGGCAGAGACCAAATACTCTCACGAAATAGCCTCCTCGATGTCGTAGACGATGAAAGTACTAACGAGGTTTGTTGGCTCCGTTCACCCCTATTGGTGCCAATCCGCAAAAGTCCTCCTTTACAGAAAGAAGTACAGAAGCTTCCTGATGAAGAGCTTTGCGAAATTATTCGAAAAGATGAAGTGGATCGTCCTAGGCTAATGGCATTCACACTGGCGGCGATGTGGATGAGACGGCATCCAGAAACTCCCATTCACGGATGTAAGCCAAATTTTCTCTATTTCCGGATTTTTTCCCCTTTCTTTTTTGTTCTGAAGCAGTTCTTTGCATAGATTCTATTCGTGAACGCATGGAGAGGCTATATCGCAGAGTCTGCCAGCTGCGTCTCTGGTGGTTAGTACGGTACTGTGCTGGACGTTTACGAAAAGCAGTAAATAGTCTGGCTCCTGGAATAACGAATATGTTGGTCAGAGGGAAACAGGTGCATATGTGCATTATGTTTTATAGTTTTTGCCTACTATTTCTGGCCTGGCCTTTGTGCCGGCAATGACGAAAGTCACTAGACCACTCAAGCATGACCATTGCGTCACTTATGCGCCGTGGGTAACGGGTAATCTATTGAATTTCCTTCGAACAGCTGAGAAGGAGCGTGGCCACATATGCGATTTTGAGTAGGTTCGCCAGTTGTATTCCACCATGCTAGCTGTCTTACCCGCCATTCGGTGACGATGTGCCAGGGGGCTCCTTAAATCCATGTCGTGCCTCATCCACTTTTTATTTGTATTGTTAGTAAAATATGCGGGCGAACAGTGGACAAATGTAGAGAGACGGCAAACAAACCCGGCCAACTCCCGTTTTTCAAATGATCTAGTGAAGAGACTTTGTATAAACGACTTACTATATTTAAGGTGACGCTGGGAGTTCGGAGTGTTCGAGAAGTGGTCATAAGTCGCCCGATTTCGCCTGGAGAACTAGTGGACACATTATTCTCTTGTTGTCCTCAAGATGAGCCGCATGTGGCTGTTATGCAACAGGAGCTAATCATTGCTTGTTCTGACCTGGTATGTATGAATGTTCTCCTCGATGTTTTTTTCTTGGAAAACCATCTGAGTCTTCAAATTCGCATACATGTGGCGTTGAAGGGCACTTTTCGAGGGTTCTTTTTATTTTTCCGAGTTTTTTGCGAGTTGAAGGATGAGAAACATCTGAATTGTCGAATTTATAGCTCAGAGGAGCTCCAGATTCTACGGAAAACGAATCGCGTGTAGTCGCTGGAAACTAAGAACTGCGCCAAATATGCCGAAAAAAAATAGCGAATTTAGCAAAAACGTTGGCTACAGTCTTATTCGCTGCAGATGATGGCGCGTGTCTATAAAGATAGGTTTCGTGCGGCGCTAGATCCTTTTCCCATCAGATGCAAGCGACGAGACGGTGTCATATTTCGTATCAGTCTTTTTCTACCGATTGCTATCGCTTACCAGCTTCAACAGCTGGTGTAGAATGACCTGGTAGCGCTCCAAATCGAGCCAGACTCTCCATCATCCGCATCGCAGCGAATAAAGCTGTATATGCACGTGAATCGCACAAATGAGTTGTGGTCAGCGAAAATTATGCTTTTGAAGCAGATATACCCGAAAATGCTCCAATATCCTCACGAAAAAGAGCTCAATGGATGGTTGGAAAAGTGCGTCTGTGGCACTCGCGCAGTACTGTGTACATTCGTGCTTCGCATGAGTTATGGGGTTAGGCCAGTAGCGCAGTTGCATTTCCAAAAACCATCAGCTTGCCGTTGAAGCTGTTTCGTTAGTTAGTGTTCCCATCAAATAGGGTTAATTTTACACGCACTTAATGCGAACAGTGGCTGTCGGATTCGTCGCGTGTACTACATTCATTGTGCTCACGTTCTTGTATGACAGTTCCTCAGTCTATATCTTAGCCCCAGCCTTCAGTTTTTCTGTGAATAGGTTTTTTTTGCATGTTTCATGAACGATGAAGTTTATTTTTAGATGAGTTTGCATGTTTCATGAGCGATGAAGTTTATTTTTAGATGAGTAAAAATGAATCAGCTTTCGATGGAGTGCTCACAATACGCTTGTCATGGCTGGCTGACGCCATCACACTTTTGCTGAACTATGTTCGAACTACTGGAACGAGACTAGATAGTGCCAGCTCACTTACTCCAGCCACACCAGGCACAACGGGTATACCAAGCGGTAGGCTGATTTCTTCTAGTATACACTGAATGTTGGAAAAGGCATTAAAAAGCTTCGCTCCTTTGTGAGCACTCACATTTGGGATATTTAGAGTACCGTAAAATGAACTTTGATTCAACAGTCACAATTATTTCACGAAATAAAGCAGGAGAGTCTCTACCACCATTTCCATTTTCTTGGCCCACTCTCAAACAGCGGTTGCTCCTGAGAAATGTCCTTCGAAGTTGCTCTCCTGCTCTAAGTTTTCTTTTTTTTTTGCACATCCTTGCCGCAGAGGCTTAACGACCACCTTTCATTCTTTTACATGCGAATCTTTACCTTACGACTGTGAAAATTTGAGGCTTAAGAAATATCAATGCGCTCTCTCTCCGTTTCTCTTTTGTACAGTTGTCGTTTACCTTTTGGCTATGGTATTACTGCAGTTTGGAAAGCTTTTTCAGGAGCATCAGTCTTTATCACTCCAATTTTTATTCAGGTGTTTTTGCAGTGAAATTTTCCTAGATATGATGAGCGGCCAGGCCAGATGTACGTTTTTCACAGCACACAGCTACTGAAAGTCACCGGTCGTTGGTCGCTAAATTAATTGGTGTGACCAAAACACGACAAATCCTTCACTATCACGCTAAAAATTTCAAGGACGGCTCAGCAACTGTCCGAGGCATTTTCGAATTTGGATATTAAAGTTGGATATCTCTACCCGCGGAATATTCTTCAACGGCTGGCCAATTGGCTTATACGATTGACGACATTCAGGACTCCAATAGTCGCAACTGTCCCATTCTTATAATTTTTGTTTCTGTCGTTTTCATAGCCATATTGTCTAAGAAATGACGATATGTTATGCGTTCTTTAGAATTCCATCAGCAGTGATTCCATTTTCATTGTACTCAAGGTGAAATTTCCTTTTCAGTTCGCAGCCGTCAAGGAATTTTGCCTACACGCAAAAAGACCTATGCCGCTCTTCAGGGTACATGTGTGCCGTGATGCATAACTCTTTTTGTTTTGCTGCCAGGATCTCACGAACGATGAGTTCGGTATTGGGCATTTGAAGATAGCCATTAGTGTTGGAGTAACTGGACGAGGGGTCTTGGAGAAACTGGCCTTCACTCACAGTTTCAAAACTGTGCTGTATATACAACAGAAAACACCTGTGATAGTAATTTCCTCTGCGTTCCTGTGTGGATTCAATGCCGTTCTGTGTCCACAACTTGACGTAGCGCATCTCTCAGGTGTTGTATAACATTTAATGTGCTGCACTTGTCTACCCTTTATCCTTTAAACCGCTAGATTTATCAGGGCAAAGAATTGCTGACCCTAGATGCTTTAGTCTTGTAGAATTAGAGTACTCGCGTAATGGTCTTTTCCAGAACGTCTGTGTGTCTTTTTGTCAGTCAGCGTGTTCATCAAATCAGCTTCCTTCCGTAATGTTCACCTTTGCTCCGTTATACAGCGAGGGCAAAACAAAGAGGTCAGCTCACATAGTGGGGGAGTTGAAAGGCATGCTTCGCATCTCTTCTCAAAGGCACCATGTGTGCTGAAAACTGGTGATATGGACTCACTTTGCTTTGATAATTGATACTTTGTTGGTCCTTCAGCTGGTGCGATTCTCGTTGTAGATACAGCTCCTTCATAATGTCAATTTTCTGAGGAATCGCATCCTATGTGGTGGACCGCACTCCCGACATGTCTTGAAAACGTGTTGGTGGTCTCTCATGCAGTGCGTGCTTTGTAGGAGCCATTCTGTTGCGCAAAAACTCAATCTTTCATCGTTACGGCGGAGCACTTGACCAGCCCAGCGGTATTTACAATGCACCCTTTACGGTAGTGGACTAATTACCTGCGATCGCTCCCTTAGGTCTGCACTCCTCAGACCTCGCAGTCATTGCTGGTGGCGACCGATCCTCGAAGGACATCTCTCCGAATTACTACACATGGTCTGCATAGCCTGGTGTCTTAATCACAGGCCAGGTCCGGTCGCATAGCACATTGCTGGCAGTACCATGACGCTTAATACTGAGTCTCTAGGGTCAGGGTATTTAATACGTTCCGGACCGACGCCCATTTCGCCTCACGTCCATGTGTGGCCACGGCCTTTTTCGATGCGAGGCTGGCCGCCCACTCGGGGCAGGTTTCAGTCGTGATTTTCTCCCACTGATTACTTTACTCTGAAAATTTGCACATGGGGTTCTTTCACGTTCCAATCTCTAATATGACGTTCATCTTTGGCGCTGGCGCAACTAGGCGCCATCAGGCGCCAGTTGGACGCCAAGATCGTCTTTACAGAAATTAATGTAACTTTACATTTCGGGTTACTCAGGGAGTGCATCTCCAGTATGGCATCCATTTTTGGCCTACGATCGTTTTTGACGAAATTGATCATGATCATCGGAGCGAAACACGAATATTATATGCATTTCCCTGGTTCGCAAACTTACATCGTTCTGGTGAAGAACGTCATAGCGCTAACGGGCGCATAGTGGCGCCCCGTGGACATCGTTGAATATGCTTGTGATTAGAAATCTCGCTAACCTCCAAATGCATATTTATATTGATTCCGGTGAAAGATGTCATAACGCCGAACTGGCGCCAGTCTGCGCCCGACTTCAGGAAGCGAATGTCATTTGTGTGACCAGAGTCCTTGACCACCCCTCAAACGTATGTCTTCTGAATTGAATGTGGTGAAAAAGGCCACTGTCGCCAAACGGAGCGGACGCTATAACAGTGTGCCATAATCATGGTCGCTGAATGGCCTCAGTAGATCAACCTATCAGCAAATTGTTCAGAGTGCGATGCATAAATTGGCCACGTTTCAGAAAAATTTACAAATAAACTATCCCTGCTTTTCATGGCCCAACCATATGCAGGAATTCGTACCCCTACAGGGATGTGTAAAAGCTCAGAGAATTCGCGCAGTAGTCAAACAAAACATACGCAATATTTTATTCTTTAAGATCGTGACACACCATGTGTTATGACGCTCTTCCGGTGTTAATATGCTCCGTTACATCACAAATTTTTACGAAAGCTAGCTACGCCGCGCGTCTTCTGGGGCTTATTTCGGAAGGGATATTGTCCATCATGTAACTCTCTTTCCTGGTGTGCGATGGAATCCACTCATTGCAGAGCAACTCCAGCCAATTCGACCTTTGCAGGTCACACCACTGTTTGGCCATCATCCCCGCCTTGGACGATATTTGAGCCAGTCTTCTGACCGATCATGTGGAGCTCCTTTGCCATATCTTCCATTTCGACTGTGTTATCGGATATCAAGTTGATATCATTGGCCGAACAATAGTTGCTGCTCCTTATTCCGTCAGTTGAATAGTTTTCGACATACCGGTTGACATGTGACATCGTACACAGTAATGCCGTGAACTTCGGGAATATCGTGTCCCCATGCCGTACCCCTTTCTCAGTGGGTATCTTTAACTAACGTTCGAAAAGTTGAACGGACGATGGTTTGTTCGAAAGACTCCGTTCGAGCAGACAAGTGTACATAGAGGGGACCTCGGCAGGGCGTTGAGAACAGCATTAACCCACTTAGAGTCGAGAGTCTTTTTATAGTCGACGAAGACGATGGCGAGAGGAGGGTGATATTCGTGACTCCTTGCTATGAGCTGAGTTATCACATGGATCTTGTCCAGCCGGCGTGCTCCACTGGCTGATAGTCGTCCAAAATGTGTTCCATACGGTTTAGCAGTCTTCTGAATGACTCAATGCCACCATGCACACTGATGGGTCGGTATCTGGCAGTCTCCTCCGTTGGGCCTTTCTTGAACAGAGGAGCTGTTATCGACTTAACGAGAAGAGAGCAAGAGGTGCTTTCTCCTTCACAGAGGAAATGAAAAATGAAGGTGAAATATTTGTCTCGAAGAATTCTGTCTACACAAGGCTTTACGCTTCGCTTCTCGCAAATCCTCTGTTTCTCCCATCGAAATAATTTTGCCCTGTGAATATCGCAGTCCACGTTGTTTGAGACTATTTCAAAACAGTATGTTGTTGCTTGGCTTCATAGATTTCATAGTGCGTTGTTTTTTTGCATAATGAACTTCACCCGTCAGTTGCTTGCCCACGAATTGACCGAGTTCAGGTCACACAAGTGAATGAGATTTGTAGAAATGCAAAGTTCTATCGCCGTGGGGACTTGAACCACCAGTCACCTGTCTGATGTCCATTCTTCAAAGACGTAAACATAAAGAAGAAAAAACATTACTACTTAGGGAGGGGTTCCCCACTTAGAGCGCGTTCAGACTTCGCGATCCTAGTGCTACCGTGGGTGAAATTCACACCGGGAGGGAAGGGTCATGTTTGTTCATGTTTTTTGTTCCTGTTCACTTTTCCTTTTCACTTTTTCTTTTCCTTCTTTCTTCCTTCGTGTTCATAACGCCTTTTTATGTTAAGGAACGTTTCGAAATAGTTTGATTTGTGTTTCTTTGTATT